ATTTGGGTTGTTTCTACACTTTGAACTTTGTCTGTGACCTAACTTTGACACTTCAAGAGGTATACCTTCCTGTGCCCAAAACCTTTTTGGGGAGCATCACCCGGTTCCACCTGCTCCTGTTAATTCCTATTCCCCTTGAGGCATTTTCTTCAAACTTATATGCTCACCTGTACAAATATGGCAATGTGCGAAACCCATACTGCAGTTGTGCAAACTCAATGTCAAGGTCACCCTTGAAGGTCAGATATCAAGATAATTTTGCGCAAGTGGGCTGTTTGGCTCTTGTTCTCAAACGCTGAAAATAGTAAAGTGTCAGCTGTCACATAATTATGTTCAGCCATGCGACAGCTCTTGTATTTTATGGTTTCTTAAAATAAACCTGGCATTGCAAAGCATTGTTTAATACAATAGTGAATGTCTTTCCCAAGGGAACATTAATTTTTCCTGAAATTACCAAAGTGTGAAAGGATGGATTTAATATCGGCATCAGAAATAAATGTGACGCAAATGCTATGAACATGGTAATTGATGACAGTACTCGGAAATTTTTATTCCATTTTTCTCTGCACATGATGAAAAATCATCTGCATCTCTACATTGATGCAAAGGAATTACAGGGACACTAATTTTTTCAACGCCATAATTTTACTGATTCCAGAGTTTTTTTTTTTTCTCTTCTAAATTATGAAAGAGCCCGAGCCATTTTGATTTGTGGAGGAAGATATTGCTAATTATACTTTGAAATTTTCTTGTAATACTGTTTTGTGGCATTGAGTAAAGAAATTTTTAATTGTGAAAGCAGCATTTCTTTTCAGTTATGAAACAACTGGCATCTTGGTATCTTAAATGGGCCTTCTTCATATTAAGAAACCTTATGATTAAAGGCCCCTATTACACTGGGGAAAAACCCTGGATGTGCATTACTATTCAAGTGGAAATAACTATTTCATTTTTTAAAACCAAATAAGATTTTCAAAGTGGACATTTGTCATTGATTTTTTCATTTTTAAACCAGATAAGATATTCTAGTGGAAATTCCTCATTAATTATTTAAACCAAAACAAGATACTTTAAGTTAAAATTCATCATTGATTTTTTTTTTTAATTTTCTGTTATAACATTTGTCTACTGATAGATTTTGGAGGATAAATATTAATTTAACAAGGAGATAGGAACTACAGATCTTCATGCATGAGCTTGACTGTAAATGAAGAAAACATAATGTTCATTTAAAACAATGAATATCGTTATTTCATTGCAAACTAGCCAGGTGTTAATGCCACAAAATTTTCTGCTCCATATAAAATTTTTGAGGACTGGCATGAACAGTTACTGTAGTTAAATTGTTGTTCTTCGTACATTTGCCAAGATTCCATTTAAAATTAAGATTTTTTACAGGTCCTTAGATATAAATTTTTTTTTAGAATTACATTTTCAATTTTAAATACATCATAAAATTATCTGCTTATCTAATGCATTAATTTGATAAATATTTAAAAAAATTCTCATTTTCATAACCTCATGATATTTTTGTTAACCATATTTATCATTTCTATCTTCAAATATTTACATCATTATCAAGTTTTAAAGAAATGCTGCCAGGCCAGAAAAGAATCGATAACTTTGTGGGTATGAACAGAAAACCTCTGTGGAAGTTTTTTTCAAAATTTTTATCAGTTTAAAAATTGGGCCTATCTATAATTATGCACTTCTGTGTTAAATTGTGATGTTTTAATTTGGTACTGGAAAATTATGCAGTATTGTTTTTCAAAACAGACATACAGCTGTGGGATTTACAAAGATTTAACCAATTGTCTTAACTAACCTGTTGAGTTATGCTTCACAAGAGATTTGCAGATAATTCAAAACTCAAAGCCATCACTATTCCCAGGGGAGAAGGGGGACGTGAGGGGGGTAGGGCGTGTCTGGACTGGCCTGTTACAAGTGGCTTTTTCCATAAAACTAAATAGTTAAACCCTTTCTCTGCTAAATATCTTTAATGAACTTGTATATCTTTCAGTCTGAACAAAAGTTTTTTTTTCACTTTTAGAGAAAATTTCAAATTTTGTACTGACCAAATATCAATCAGTGCAGGCATATAGGTAGAATCAGTTGCTACCAGCAAGCTTAGAGTTAAAGAGCTATAAGACTTTAGGTTTATCTAGGTTATCACATCCTCTGTGATTTTTTCTAGTCTACCTAATCTAACTTGATTGATGTCATTGTCTCACTGCAATTGTTACTAGTCTCACTGCAATGGTTTCTAGTTCTCTTATTGTACCAGTCTACATATTGTTTCATGTCTCACTGTGATTATGACAAGTTTCACTGTGATGTTATTGACTGTGATTGGTTACCTAAGTATATCTGTGATTGGTTATCTAAGTCTCTCTTTGATTGGTTTACCTAAGTCTCACTGTGATGTCATGTTTATCTAAGTCTCACTGTGCTTGGTTATCTAAGTCTTTTTGTGATTGGTTATCTGCAAGTTTTGCTGTGATTGGTTACCTAAGTCTCACAGTGATTGGTTATCTAAGTCTCACTGTAATTGGTTACCTAAGTCTCACAGTAATAGGTTACCTATGTCTCACTGTGATTGGTTATCTAAGTCTCACTGTGATGTGATGGTTATCTAAGTCTCACTGTGATTGGTTATCCAAGTCTTGTTGTGATTGGTTATCCAAGTTTTGCTGTGATTGGTTAACTAAGTCTCACAGTGATTGGTTACATATGTCTCACTGTGATTGGTTATCTAAGTCTCACTGTGATTGGCTACCTATATATCACTGTGATTGATGACCTATGTCTCACTGTGATTGGTTAACTAAGTCTCACAGTGATTGGTTACATATGTCTCACTGTGATTGGTTATCTAAGTCTCACTGTGATGTTGATGGTTATCTGAGTCTCACTAACAGTGATTGGTTATCCAAGTTTTGCCATTATAGGTTACCTAAGTCTCACAGTGATTGGTTACCTATATATAACTGTGATTGATGACCTATGTCTCACTGTGATTTGTTACCTAAGTCTTGCTGTGATGTGATGGTTATTTTAGTCTCACTGTGATTGGTTATCTAAATATCTCTTTAATTGGTTACCTAAGTCTCACTGTGATGTGATTGGTTATCATTGTCTCTCTGTGATTGGTTACCTTAGACTCACTGTGAATTGGTTATCTATGTATCACTATGTTTGATTACCTAAGTCTCACTTTAATGTGATTGAATGTGATTGGTTACCTTAATCTCAATGTGATTGGGTATCTAAGTCTTACTGTGATCCGTTACCCATGTCTTACTGTGATATGTTATCTAAGTCTCTCTATGATTGGTTATGTAAAGTCTCACTGTGATTGGTTGTCTCAGTCTCTCTTTCCGAAATGGAATTTCAATAATTCATCTTGGAATCAATAAAGGTCAACAAATAAACTTGAAATTTAAAGACAAACCTAAATAATTTACTTGATTTTCTAAACTACCGGTATGTATATCAGCCAAATTTGAATATCACGTCAATAAATTTTCTCAATTTAAAGTTTTTGTATAGTGTATCCCATGCGTTTGAAGACTGTTTTCGAACACCTTAGACATATCATACTGTCTTTGTTTGACAAATTTATATGGATTGTGTCTGGGCTTTGTGGTTATAAGTGACATTCTCTACAAGATTGTAAGGTAGACCTTTTACAAATGTTAAGCCAGATCTGACATTTCCACCAAGATTGAGAGGAAATTGACCAGCATCTGCTATCTTTAATGTTCGAGGAAGCTTTCCTTATATGTCAGGGAAATTGTTTTTGTAGACAGAATGTTTTCTGCAGACAGCTGCCAGGGCTTAATCCCCCCGCAGAAGGCCATCTAATTCTGTGAACAATATTTTCAGGAAAGCTCTGAATCTTAGTAGACTTTTCATTGGTCATTTTAATCCTTTCTCCATACAAGCTGCTGAGCTCACGCTGTCAATAGAAAAATACGTATTTACATATCGGTTATATATAAGTAGTATATGCAATCGAGGAAATTAGCTAATTGTTTTCCCGCCATTTACATTGCAAAATTAGGCAACAATGCAAAGGTCATTGAGCTTAAGTTAAAACATGAAACTTTACGCATTAGAAATAATGCAAAAAGAGAAATTTTGCAAAATATTTAAAAAAAGGTTTATAATGGCCGAATATCAAATTTTTAAAGATATTCATTGTTTCATGGACCTGTATCCTGGTATTTTGCTGATTGTGTGTGTTTGAGGAACATTTCATTTTAACCTTTAGCCAGCTTTAAGTGACAACTGATTCTTACCATGCTAATAGACTTAAGTCATGCCAAGATCAGCTGGCATATCTTTGACTTTGGTGTGTCTGTTTGTTACTCAGTCATTACATATTTTGAAATTTTCCCTAAAAAAATGATGTTATGATTTTGTCCAGATTGAAAGCTGTACTAGTCAATTTAAGATATTGTAGCAGGGTACTTAGTGTTTAAGCTTAGTACTGTTGTAAGATCTAGGGGAGAAGAATATCACATACATCAGATACAAAATGTATTGAATTGAGAAGTGTTTCAATTCACAGTCTTCCCAGACAATTTATATATTTTGTGACCTCTTATTGTCATTCTAAATCATAAATCTAAATTTTCGTGCTGTTGGCTTATAATTGACACTAATAGATAAGTTCAGTCAATTTTTCAGGATAATGATAGTACCCCGTTAGTTGGACGTAGGGAAAAAAGAGATTTTGAGATTTATTATCAATTGTGATGTGCAAATTATTAAAAAGATTTCTTATATATATATAATTATACGTATATAATACTTGGGAATTATCATAAAAAAAACAACAATCCCACTGGCCTTTACTAAATTAAAGCTGACTGGCAGCATTTTTTTTCTTCATCTTTTTTATCTCTTAAATTTTGTACCAGACATTCAAGCCATTGTTTAGTATAGCTTATAAGAATGTGTCTTGTCATATGGAATGTGTGTATATTTGCCAACAGACAACCCATGTTCCGAAAAGAGGTGCGAGACCTACCAGCTGTGCGTTATTGACCGCCTCGGTCAGGCATCGTGTATATGTCCATCACCATGCCAACAGTTGTTAAATCCGGTGTGCAGTAGCGATGGTGTGACATATGATAACGAATGTGAACTGCGGCGCCAGGCTTGTATCAGGCATGCAAGGATATATGTTGCTCATACGGGACCCTGTGGTAGGCTCATTGTGAAATCATTTCATTTCATAGGTGCATAATAAAGTCATTCGAATCAAAAGTAACAAAGCCGTTTAAAAAGTAAGACAGACGAATGTGCCTATTTCTTTGATTGTCTCTTATATTTTGACATGAATTGTATCATTATTATAATAAACAGGTTATTAAAAAGAACTATTCTAGAAATGCGATGAATTACCTTTCATACATTTATAATTTTGTTGAATAGACCAGGGACTGATATATTTTTATGGTCATAAAGTTGGGATAGGGCTATAGAGTAGGGTGCTAGAACTTAATGTATAACATAGGGGCCTGTGTTCACATTTTTATTAAAACTCTCATTATCTTAATGACATTGCCTCAAGTATGTTCCCATGGTGCAGAATTTCATAATATCTCAATTCCAATATATAGCTTGATATTTTTATTACAATTATATCCATAGATCACCAATGAAAAATGATGATTTCACAACTTCTTTTCAACCCAAGCACATTATTGAATTTTATGAAAATTGCTATTTATATGATATTTGGCAGTCAAGAAAAATCAGTATTATAACAGTTTAAATGATTATTTATTTTATTTTTGACCTTTCAAAGAGTTAAACAGATATAGTCTGCTACAAGTCATGACCTTTTGTATGAAGGTCATCAAAATAACCTTCAGTGTTTAAGGTCATAATTATATACTTTCATTTTTTAAATGCGATTATCTGTAAGGTACTGTTGTTAAATTGGATTAACTACTAAAGTTCTGAAAGTTTGATTGATTAAAAATTTATTTAAATGCAATGACCTAATTAAGGTCATATGAACTTTAGGGTGAAAGTCACTTAGAGGTAATCTGTTACTTTGGTTTGTGACTTGCATCAACTGAAATTGTAATTTACATTTTTCTTGGCTGCTATTTTATTTTGAATTTATTAATATATTAATATATTCATTGTAAATTGTTCCATGTATTGTAATATTGTATTTTTGTGGTGAAAAGTGACCTATCGTTTAGATGCACCTCTTGTAAATTTTCCGTCAGCAAAAAAGTTTTTTAGATTAATTTATTTACTTATATATATGTAATGGATGTATGAACAGTATTCAACAGCAACTTAAACTGACTTCTGTTCACTCATTTGAGGGAGTATTACCACATTTGACAAAATAGAAACTTAAAAGTAACAGCAATAAAAGATCAAGGAATGTGTAAATATAAGTTTAGTGTACTTGCAATTCTGTACATTGTAATTCTGTACATTTTGTACACTATCATAATGTTTAAGAGCCTGCATCGCAATTAAGAGCTGCCTCCATTCATAAACAACCTTCAAAAAATAAGAAATTATCACTTAGAATTATCACTTAGAATTTATTTGAAAGAAGTTTCATCATTTTTGGATCAAATCACACATAGATTGCGATAAATTATCAATAAATTTGTACATTTATAGTTAACAAATTACTCACTTATCAGCCAAATTAGGGGGAATAAAACGGTTGAAAAAATGAAAGTTTAACTGTGCATTGATTAAAAAAATAAAATTTTGCAACAGGTTAAAATAATACCAGAATAATAGTGCCAAAACTTTAATAAGTTGTAATTTCCAGGAGCAAAACATAATTTTACGAATCATTTAGTTTCAGTGGTGTAATTTAATCTTTTGATAATATTCTACCAATGTATTTTCAAAAATGTGGCTAGCTTTACACTGAACTAATACAAAACATGCCAGCGAGATTTACCATGAGAAATTAATTTAAATATGTGACAGCTTTTCTTGTGCTCCAGCTAAAATATGTTAATTTGATCTAGAACAAGAATTTTTTGAAGATAGATGTATTAAAATGCCTACACATTTTGGTTTTGTTTGTGGGTTTGATTTAATATCTTGATACACACGCAGAAAAAAGAAATTGTATCAAAATTGTCTTAAAAAAAATTATGCAAGTTAAATTTTTTAATGTTACAAGTAAAAATGGTTAATAAATGCTCAAGTTCCTGTTTGGATGTACTTTCTGTATTATTTTATTCTCTTAATTTTTATGTGCCTGAAAGAATTTCGGGCATATTATGTTATACCCCCTGGCGTCCGTCCGTCCGTTAGCAATTTGGTTCCCGGAGCATAACTTTAGTTCCATTTGGCCCACAATATTCAAACTTCATAGGATGATTGCCCATATTGGGTAGAAGACCCCTATTGATTTTGGGGTCACAAGGTCAAAGGTCAAGGTCACTATGACCTTAAAACTGAAAACAGTTTCTGGAGCATAACTTAAGTTCCATTTGGCCCACAGTGTTCAAACTTCATAGGATGATTGTCCATATTGGGTAGAAGACCCCTATTGATTTTGGAGTCACAAGGTCAAAGGTCAAGGTCACTATGACCTTAAAACTGAAAACAGTTTCCGGAGCATAACTTAAGTTTCATTTGGCCCACAGTGTTCACACTTCATAGGATGATTGTCCATATTGGGTAGAAGACCCCTATTGATTTTGGGGTCACAAGGTCAAAGGTCAAGGTCACTATTACCTTAAAACTAAAAACAGTTTCCGGAGCATAACTTAAGTTCTATTTGGCCCACAGTGTTCAAACTTCATAGGATGATTGTCAATATTGAGTATAAGACCCCTATTGATTTTGGGGTCACAAGGTCAAAGGTCAAGTTCACTATTACTTAGAAATTGAAAACAGTTTCTTGAGCATAACTTATGTTCCATTTGGCCCACAATATTCAAACTTCATAGGATGGTTGTCCATATCGGGTAGAAGACCCCTATTGACTTTGGGGTTACAAGGTCAAAGGTCAAGGTCACTATTACTTAGAAATTGAAAACATTTTCTTGAGCATAACTTTTGTTCCATTTGGCCCACAATATTCAAACTTTATAGGATGATTGTCCATATTGGGTAGAAGACCCCTATTGATTTTGGGGTCACAAGGTCAAAGGTCAAGGTTACTATTACCTTAGAACTGAAAACAGTTTCAGGGGCATAACTTAAGTTCCATTTGGACCACAATATTGAAACTTCAAAGGAGGATTGTTATTTGAAGGAGGTAATACTTTATCTAATTCCCATGTCTTACAAATGTTTCATCTTAATTTAAAAAAAAATCACTTTCGGGCATATAATGCTCCGCCTAGCGGTGCTCTTGTTAAGACTTGGCTGATAAAGTGGGTACTTTAAATTTGTTATTTTTATATTTATTAATAGTCATTTCTTTGACATAAATTATAAAGTGGAAAATGCTTTCTCAAAATGACAATTGTCATTTTTCAGGTTTGACTTGAATGATGGCAGTTCTGAAAGCGGTGTAGCTCTTATAGAATGAAAATTCACACTTCCTTCCACCCGTCACGTCATAGTAGGTCAACCCCTATCACTAGAAATTTTGGACGAGGATTTGGACATGCAATGGTGTCCTATTTATTGTGACTTTGTCAAAGACTGAACCCATGTTTTATATTCACACAAGGATAATTTTGTGGATTGACTTCATCAAAAAAATACAGAAATTTCATAAAGTTGTACGCAATTATATCAGTACAGTGATTTATTGAACTTTTGAGTTCCTTAAAATAACTTTGCAAATCATCGATTTGATCTGATCATTAATTTTTAGGACTCGAAAGAGTCCCATTAATCATGTATATAAAGTATCTCATAATGTTTGTGCAATTATAATAACATGCTGTAATAAATTTTTGTAATAGACTTTTCAGCAATTTATTGAATTTCTTAGTTCCTGAATAACTGCGCAAATCATCAATCGTCAGCAAAATTTAATCTGAATTTTTAGGACTCAAAAGAGTCCCATTCATTGTGCATAATTAGTATTAATTACGGTATAAAGTATCTCATAATTTTTGTGCATAACATACTATAATAAATTTTTGGAATAGACTTTTTTTGTGTCGCCTTGAAAAAGGCGACCAATAGGGGTTACTTTTGTCGGTGGCGTCGTCTGGTGTCGGAGTCGGCATCCCCTTAAGCTTGTCCGGAGCATAAGTCAGTCATTATAAGTCGGATTGACTTCAAACTTGGAATGCATGCTTCTTATAATGACCCAAAGTGCAGTGCACAAGAACCAGTACTCTGCACTTCCTAATTTTTGAGTCATTGCCCTTTGTTAATTTTCATACTTTATTTTGTCTGGGCCATTTCTCTTAATGTATAACAGCTATGGACTTGAAACTTCATAGGATGATAGATCTCATTAAGAAAAAGTGCAGTGTATAAGAAACGGTAACTCTGCATTTCTTATTTTTTAAGTTATTGCACTTTGGTAATTTTCATACTTTATTTTTGTCCAGGCCATTTCTCCTAAAGTATAAAAGATATGGACTTGAAACTTCATAGGATGATAGATCTCATTAAGAAAAAGTGCAGTGCACAAGAATCGGTACTCTGCATTTCTTACTTTTTGAGTTATTGCCCTTTGTTAATTTTCATACTTCATTTTTGTCCAGGCTATTTCTCCTAAAGTATAAAAGCTATGGACATGAAACTTCAAAGGATGATAGATCTCATTAAGAAAAAGTGCAGTGCACAAGAACGGGTACTCTGCATTTCTCAGTTTTTTAAGTTATTGCCCTTTGTTAATTTTCATACTTTATTTTTGTCCTGGCCATTTCTCCTAAAGTATAAAAGCTATGGACTTGAAACTTTATAGGATGATCGATCTCATTAAGATGAAGTGCAGTGCACAAGAACTGGTACTCTGCATTTGTTATTTTTTGAGTTATTGCCCTTTGTTAATTTTTATACTTTATTTTTGTCCAGGCCATTTCTCTTAAATTAAAGAAGCTATAGACTTGAAAGTTGAAACTTCATAGGATGATATATCTTATTGATAAGAAGTGCAGTGCATAGAAACTGCTGCTCTGCACTTCTTATTTTGTGAGTTATTGCCCTTTGTTGTGCCTCCACTTTAGTGGCGGGCATTTAGATTTACCCTTGTCCGTCCGTCCGTTCACTTTTGTGTCGCACGTAACTCAAA